CTTCTTCCTCTTCCGAAAGATGAAAATTCAAGGGAAGGAGATTTGAGACGATAGAAGAGATTCAGGCAGAATCGCAGATGGTGCTTGACAGGCTGACAAAGAAAGATTTCCAGGGATGCTTCCAGGCTTGGCAGCCTCGCTGGGATCGTTGTGTTCACTCCCCGGGGAACTACTTCGAGGGTGATGGATGAATTTAATACCTGAGATAAGTGTACGGGTTTTTATAGGCGCAGTCTAGAAACTTTCCGATCGCACCTCGTACACTGTCAACGTCCGAACTACATTCACTTATAGTTTCATCTTCTAAAACTTCATTTAAAACTTGCATTTGTTGGACCTCTGTCACGACTTGTTGAAGGGCGAGCCATGATGACTATGAAGTCACGCATTTATATTTAGACTCCCAGGCACAGCTCAATGGAATGTAGCGCTGTTGCCAGATGGTCAGAGAGCTCATTCTTTTCACAACAGGCCAGTGCAAACCTCACGCAGGAGTTATTCATTCCATACTTATGGGCTGTAGTAATTAGGCTTACAGTCAGACGTATATGTACGTCGAACCGCAGATAGGGTCAGCGGTGACTCATCTATTCGTGACCAACTCCCCCAGTCTGGCTGTTCCTATTCTGTAGCAACACCTCAACCCGGAGAATCTACAATGACAAACAATTGCTTTAGTACACTGCAAATCACAAGGGTTTCATTGCAAGAACAAAACAAGATAAGACAGTCTTAAAGGCAAAATGTGAAGACTAATCAGTCCTGTGGAAGACACGAATAACCAAAATAAAAAGTAATGTTCCATAAACGATTCTGGCAAAATGGTACATCCAGTGCAACAAGATCTAAACACGCATAACAGAATACAAATGCATAGCTTTGTATACTATTAGGCAGATGTCAAACAGCGAATTTAATTTTTCATGCAAGATCCATCAATATATGAAAACCTTTTGGTTCTTATTCTTGGCACTAGAGAATGCAGTACCACACTATTGCATCTCACTCTTCTGCTGGTAAGGTTACACGGATGACAACATATCAAATTCCCACTAATATTAACTTCTGGTAACATTTCCATGCCATGTACCCATAATATATGTAGTGTCTTTCAGGACTGAAAATTTTATGTGAAGGAGGATTCCATACAAAACAATACAGTGGGCCCTACTCCCCAGTCTGTTACTCATGTTTCGCTGCAAATGGTAATGTTATTGTTGTCATGGATTTCTGTTCAGAAAGCAAAGGGGAAGAATATAAATTCCATTCTGCTATGGCAGAAGATCAAGTAAATTTTTGACAATCTCAAGATTAGTCTTAGTTGACAATTTTTTTACTTCAAAAATTGATTTACTGCCCAAGTTCATAATTTCCTTGGGATGAACTGTCATAACATACCAATATCTTGCTCCATAGCTGTCATTTCCTAATCTGTCGCACTTCTTTAGTACCAATTAACAATTGATACTGAGTAAGTATGAATATCAACACAAATTATAAACAATATGAACTACTGAGCACAATAATTCTGTCTTACCTTAAGATACAATACAATAACCAACAATCATTCAAAAAACAAAAGAAACCAAAGAGACTTGTTAATACGAAAGATGTAAACAAAGGAAAAATCACGTGGGTTAAGTGAAATACAAAACAGAATAAGAGCATAAAAATAATGGAAAATAGATTAAATTCAAAAACCAAACCAACAACAAATGATTCCTTTCCCAAAGATGTGATAAGCAAGACATAATTTTGATCACACCATCAACTAAGATATTTACATATACTTCCAAAACTAATCAGCTGTGAAGGCCTTTCTTTGCATTTACATTACATTTATCATGAAGCAAACTTTCACGCGTTGTGTTATGGTCATGTTCATGTGTTTTACAGCCATGTGACCATAATATACAGTGTGTTCACAAAGTTCCTTCAGGTTTTGAAAAATTGTGGCGCACAAATTGAGCTAGCTACATGCAGTTTGCAGCAGATTACAGTGAAACTCTGGAAGTTTTTTTATAACAGATGGCATAAGCGGCCATCTTTACATTTCTCAGTCGTTCGTGAAATGGCGACTGTACAGGAACACGCACATTATTTGAGACAAAATCAGTCACCCAGACTCAAATTACCGCACACAATTCAATAAGCAACCTCCCAGTGACAATGCTATAAGAGAATGGCAACGGCGCATCCTAGAAACTGGTAGCGTCCATGATTGCAAGAGAAGTGGCAGACCGGGTGTAAGCGATGAATGTGTGGAAAAAATCTGTGAATCGTTTGTAGGAAGCCCTACAAAATCCACACGTCGACCTTCGCGTGAATGTGTTACTCCCACATTCAACGGTACACAAAGTGCCACATCAGAGGTTGAGGTTATGTGCATACAAGGTTCAGTTAGCGCAACAGTTGAAACCTAGTGATGGCATAGCATGTCAACATTTCGCAGAAATGTTCAACCGCATTGACCTTGATGTTGACTTCTTGAAAAAAATCATGTTCACAGACGAGGCAACATTTCATGACTCGGGTAAAGTTCACAGGCATAATGTGTGCATATGGGGCACTGAAAACCCACATGTTGTAAGGGAGCACATACGCGAGTCGGAAAGTGAACGTGTGGTGTGGTGTGGTGTAATGCAAGACAGGTTACTGGCCCCTACTTTTTTCAAGAGCAGACGATCAACATGAACACCTACCTGGACATGCTGGAACTGTACACAATACCACAAATTAAGCACTTACAGCCACACGTCATTCTGCAAGATGGTGCTCCACCTCATTGGGGTCTGCAGGTACGCACGTACCTAGACAGGACATTTCTAGGAAGATCGATCGGCAGAGACGGTCTAATGCCTTAGCCTCCATGTTCACCAGACATAACACCACTGGATTTTTTCCTGTGGGGTCATGTCAAGAGCAATGTGTTCTGAACACCAGTTAACGGACTTGATGACCCGTATCAACTATGCGATATCGGCTATTCCACCAGACATGCTCCACAGAACATGGCAAGAGCTTGAATATTTTTTCAAAATCCCAGAGGGACTTGGTGGACACACTGTACTCAACTCTTTACTGACACTAGAGCCAGAATCTTCCAAGGATACAGGATTTAATTTTCAAACAGTCCTACAACTTGAAACACCTCAATAAGACAATCCCACAAATCTCTTTAACGCAGTCGGCAAATGCCAGATTCATACCAAGTCTAAATCTAGTTGTACCAAAGCCTGATTCTGAATCTCCCAAATGATCAAACACTCCTATCTGTTCACTCTGTTCTGTCTCTCTTAAAGCAGGTCCCTCTAACTGCACTGAAGGACCAGCCTAAAATGACACTTAGAGAGTTAATCTGCGTTATGATGCCATAGAATAAAAGCTCTACGGTGCCTTAGCACATTAGACAACTATTCAAATTTTCACAACTGTAAAAACCTCATATCTTACACCTATTTTGAACATTATGGTTAAACCATCACCTTACCATAATGGAGACCTGATTACTAATTCTTAGTTCAATACAGAATGAACAGCTGTTGTCACTACAAAGAATTTGGTTTTATTTGTGTGAATATGAATTGGAATGTTAATTTCTAAAGTTACATTTAATAACTCAAACATGGTGGTCAAAGTTGGTCATTCATGATGGACAGAGCATAATATTAAGACATTCAATACAGAACTTACTGGAAGCCGCTCTATTATGAAGAGCAACAAGGCATCAAGAAACCAAACAAAGTGGTTAGACAATGCCAAGAATTTCATAAATTAAGAATCAGAAGCATTAGAGAGCTAATCAGACTCATCTGTAATACAAGGAAGAAATACATATGCCTCCCACCCAAATCTGCAAATCCTAAATCAAATTTCCCTTCGCAATTCCATATACATCCCATCCTCACATCCTATTCCCAACTTGATGTTACCCCCTTAGTCTTCCAAAAAAGTAACAAATCAACAAAACTGTTAAACAAAATTACTGAGCAATATATGAACCTGTTTATGAAAAGTAGTAGGACATTTAACGAACCAGACAGCAGTTTCAATAAATTGGCATCATTTATACAAGTCAATACAAAAAGGAAAATGTTGCCCCAGGTCCTGAAATGTTGAGAACCCCTGCTCTAAATATCCCATTACAAGTAAAAACTGAGCCCAACTCATTCAGCAAGGTAATAGCACATTTCTTTTAGCGAGAGGCACAAAAACTGGAATAGAGTAACTCTGTGTTGTATGTTTCCTCCTTCTCCTCTAGTCCGGCAATGTAACAGGTATTGGAAATCAGTTCACAATCTACAGCAATGCCAAGGCTTAAAATATGAGACAAAGCAAGGAAATTCAGTAAGCAGTTATATATATCTTTAATTTTTGATTCATCAGTATAGCACATCAACTCTTTGAAGGTATTTTATCAACTTCATATTTTATCTTAATAAGTATTTAATTAATGAACTGGCATGGCTCTATCAAGTGACAGATTCAGACTGAATGGCTGGAATTAAATTCCTGGCGAAGACAAGGAATCTCTTCGCTACCACGTCAAGAAAGACCAACTCTGGGGCCCACTCCTCATACCCAATGAATAGTTGGGGATCCTATCCCCGGAATAAAAGCAGCTAAGCGTGAAGCAGATCATTGATCTACAGTTGTGACAAGTAAAATATAAATGCTGAATTATTGGTATTTTTTATTTTAAAAACAAGTCTTCTCCTTCATGTGAAAGATCCACGTGATCCACAAGCATATTCAGGGGTCCATAAGCATCATGCACATTTACGAAATTTGAAACTGTCTTGGTGGTGAAGATGTCAATGTCTGTCCTCTGGATTGCAACAATGTGTGGACTTAGCCATACGCTCCAATACAATTTCCCCAAGATCCATTTTAATATTATTCCATCTACATCTAGTTCTTCACACATAAAAGTGTCACAAAACAGGTAATTACTTACAAGCCATTGAATGTTATCTTAACTAACAAAGTTGTCACTGTGGCTAACACATCATGAAGGTGCTCAGAGAATGAGGAGCAAAGGCTCCATACATTTCTAGAACTTTGCATCAAAAGCGGAGATAAATGGCTAGCTTCACAAACTCGTTACTTTTATCTCTGGAGGAATAGCACCAGTATCCATTTCATAGGATGCTGTGTGTTAACATAGCTGGTCTCGATAATGTTACAAAGAGAAAAAGTGTTTTCTCTGAGAGAAAATTTAACCCTGGCTATTCAGCCCACAGCCAGTCACACTATCAAATGTATTTTTGAAACAAATTTTGAACTAAGGCCGATGACACTTCATTCTTGTCAATCTATGAGGATTCTAACTTGACATGCTTTCTTAAAAAGTCAAAAAACAAAATAATTCCAAATCAAATGAAGACTTCATGTTACTATCATTGGAAGGTAAACTAGGGTATTCTCAATCAAAATCAGGTTACAATAATGCCACCATTCTATTAAAAGAAACAAGAAACAAGGTCAATGATAATATTACAGTACTTAGAGATATAAAGGATGTGTACTGAGAAGGTCATTATACTCACATAATCCTGGAGGTCAACATCAAACTGTCTTAAACTGTTGATCCAACAGCAAATACCGATTCAGCTTCTGCTGAATTTCATGCACCGCCTGAGTCATCTTCTCTTGAATTCCTGTCCGAACTCGCTGCACCTGTCCCTCCTGTCCATTGCACACAATCAATACATAACATGCAGCAGTGCTCAAGCCCTTGTCTCAAGCATAATGGAACTTTGTGCAAAGATTTTTTGTTGTTGCAGTCATTTAATATTATGGACAAAATCATTCAGCGCACACGCTCTCTATCTCTCTCACACACACACCCTACTTCTGACATGTTCCATTTTGCATGATGATTATACTAAAATAATAATAAATTACTGCTAACATTTAATGTGAAAGCACATCTAGAATTTAGCATAACATCAAATAATATTAAGCTTCTCACATGCAATGCACATAAACAACTCAACAAAACTGGAATGATATCAATTTCAGAGTTGAGAAAAGGGTCTAGATATTACTTTGGACATGTCTTTGTGGCAAAGAGAAGGAATTCATTATCAAACTTAAATTCCAGAATGCAGACATTAATAATTCATTATGGCAGCATACAATTACTCCTTCTTTTAAGACAGTTACTTTGTTAACAGCCACACATATGTTTTCCTGAAACCTGGTCAGACAGATGGCATTTATAATTATATATATAATTGCAAGAGAAATCTAAAATTAAGAAAATCCTATCGATTACCATAACTTGATTTCTTCTGAGAATTAGGAAGAGGCCGCAATTACAAAGCTTTTATAGTCGAATATCTAAATAAATCTTGCAGAACACCTGCCGGCTACATGTTCTGCTTCTAGTTTTCAGGTGTGGAATGTGCAAGGTGACCAGTTTTTGTGTTAAAATTGGGCTCTCTCCCTCTCCCAAAGCAAAACCTCTCAGAAACTTAAATAATTCCTTCAACCCATTTATATAATAGTAAGATTTTATGAACAACTTTCCTGGTTCCAAAACAGGAGAATTTCTTGAACACATGAATAATGTTTCACTGCCACAAGAACATACACCCAAAACCAACACTGACAATCCTATACCAATAAAATATAATAATATATAACAGTAATCATGAACATGGAAACAATGTAATTAATTAAAATATATTGTAAAAACCAAAATATCAATACCATAATATACCTAGGAAACTTCTTTACCTTCATCTGCAATGATAATCATAATTTAATCACAATAGGTCAATCAATAAAGTGCAGAAAATTAATATGAACAGTGATGGTAAATTTGGCCAGTATCACATTACACTCTAATCATTGATTTAACAGGAACATGGAATTTTATGCATGTTAATACAAAGAACAGACAAAATATTTTGTTCAAATAACCACCAATGAAAAATCATGTTACCCAACAAAACCATTATAAGTCTTCATATACATTCTACATTTAATTCATGTGAGTAATAGTGTGGATGCTTCCTTGTATAATTATTTCTGCAGATAACCGTAAATTACCGTCATAACTATGTATTAGAAACAAGCATCTATGGAACGCTACACACAATACATAATTTTCCATAACAAACACAGCAAGTTTTACTAAAATAGGTTCTAAATGAATCCCTCCACGATATATATCAACAGCAGCAATTACATATTAGCAATATTCTAGAAGAACGCTTTACCATTCCGAATGCGTCCATCAATCACTACACATTCCGCAGAACAAAGGAAGATGCTACTGGTACATCCACACAGCTAGTTATTTCCGATATCCTGATTGGCCGTTAGACTTCTACTCTGGCGGGATAACATTTAAATATGAAAACCTGTTTTTACAAAAAAAGACTGAAGAATTTACCACACAAACGAATGAGTCGGGAGGGGAGGGGGAAGTAGAAGAAATTATGTGTATATTCCGAAAAGGATTTCACCAAAACATCAAGTTATATTAATTCAAATAATATAAATGCAAAAAAAATAGTAATTGCTATAAAAATCTAAAATCGTTTTAGCATCTGATCATAGCAATAATCAAACTGAGGAGGACAATATATATTGGGCATGTAACAAGCATACGGTAATGAAAAATATTTACAAAATTTTAGTTGGAAAGAGGAAAGAGAAAATACCACTCGCAAGATCTAGGATTAATTGAACGGATGATATTAAAATTAATGTTTAGACATACAGTTGGTAATATATAGACTTGATTCATCTTATTGAAGAAAATATCCTGTGACAGACTCTTATGAATGTTGTAATGAATCTTTGGGTTTAGCAAAATGCAGGTAATTTCTTCTGTTGTTAAACGATATCAGATTCTCAACACGGATTCTGCTCCATAGAGTCACTTTAGTTAGTTATAGACAACTACAAAAAAATCAGTGATTGATTTTTAACTACATTTCTTATGGGGGGAGTGCTCCACAGATTTTATATCAATCATTAACAACAGAGAGCTAAGTAGGACTTGGGAGTTTCCTGGCGGTGAATACAAAGATGGCTGTCTTTTGGATTGTAGCTGCCTCCTTCATTAGGGCGATAAGTGTCCTGAAGATAAAGGCAGAAAGGACCTCTTAAACGTTGGTAAACTTCAAATCTAAAAGTTCTTGACGATGGTGATGAGTCATTTGAATAAAAATCTTCTTGGATATTATCCATCGTCTAGTCAATAAAATATAAAACGACAACACGGTGCTACAAAAGACAGCCATCAACAGAGAGCTATATTGCTGACTTCAAGACACCCCTCCCTGAATGTATCATGTGATGATACTATTTTGATTAATAGCTAGTCATCACCACATCTGCAATGGATGAGGTAGTTGTTCTTGCACTGTCGACACCCACCAAACCTGTAGTCCCTTCTACAACAAAATTGACGACTATCCCAACTGGAATGTAAAATAACATATTAGTTCACAGTAATAAATACAGGTTTCTTGAGATATGTATTTTGTACCAATAAAAACTGTCTTCCTGATATGATTTTATGTATGTCTGAAAGTCAATTAAATTTAATGTCTGCATTTCAAATGACGGAGGAAAACTTTTTCAGAAGTATTCTTAGTCGTCAATTACATAAATGCAGACCAATATCAAATCTTTGAAGCTCAATGCTAATTATGTGTTCCACCTACTTCGACAATCAATAACTCTTCATTTTGTATAGAATGGGTTTCGTATAATTCTAGCTGCATACAGTAATTATTTCCTTAATCAGCATTAACAAGTTGATCTTCATAATGGTGAAGAGTTGTGAATTCTTTGTGGTACAGATTGAATTCCTATAGGTTATTTAGTTGACTTTCATCCCAAAGGGTTAAGAAGTAAATTTGTATCCCTGTTCTTATCTTGAATTAAAGGATGCATTATTAGTATTAAATTGCTTGTGGGTAGCATACATGTTTATTTCAAATGCAATGTTTTCTATCAGGTTGTCCTCAAATAAAACAAGAAATACATAACAGGTTGCAACGTATCACCTTCTTTTACATCTTCAGTGATGTCCATCTGTATGCATTGTGTATTAATGCAAGCCTGGCTGGGTGAATTTTAATGAAATTTGGTATGGGAGTAATGCCACTTGAGGCTAACCCACAAATGTAATTTTTAATTTCCTTAACTGGTAATCCCAACATGATGGATGCGCAAATCCGTGATTAATCATAATCTGATCTTTAGTTTTCATAGTGTGAACCTACTGAAGGACCAAGTAAAGCCACATAACACTTGTCACAATGACTGATCTGTGGACTCAGATTCAAAATTATAAAAGGGACAGATTTTGTTATCCCTGTTCAGCTTCATGGATGCTTTCAAGGACATAATCACTAAGACCAAGGAGACTGGAATGCATATTAAGCTGGATATTAGAAAAAAAGGTTGTGAGTTTAGGTAATGAACTGAACTGGCTCTGTACTACTTCCAGTGGTAATCTTAGTGCTAGCAATCCTCAATGTTCTGCTTCCAGTACCACAGTTAGTGAGTGGCATCTTTTTCTGAAGCCCTGTCACACACAACTCTTGTAAAATGTTGTTTTGTCAGCAGGATAAACTAACATACTCCATCTGCTGTACACTGCGGTACTTATCCCCTGAAGCAATGAGGGGATAGGGTACAGCATGGTAATTATTCACCACCATGAGTATGTAGAAATTTAAATGTTAAATATAGTGTGATTTTCACCTCTTGTATTAAAGTACACAACAAAATTTGCAACATCTTTTGATAAGAAATGTAATTAAGCTTGCAGCAGTGAAATAAGTACATACCAGAGTTATCAATCATAGGCACATCTACAACTGAAATTTTAAAAAATACCCCTGTTAGCTGTTGTATGAGGAAAGAATTGCAGCATATTTTAAGGTATTTTCCCACCATTTGCTTGGAAAGGCCAAGGATAACAAAAAATGTCAGTCAGGATAGTAAGTCCCAATTTCAACACAGCAGTCTTCCTCCTCGCCCCATGCTCTTGCACTATTTTCTAGTTCTGATGTGTTATTGCAGGTGATGTGATGCAGCAGTTAGCACATATTCCCATAGCTTTGGCAATTAGGCTGAGTTTCGGGATAGGATGGGGAATTCTTTTGATGTTCATTCCCCATAAAGATGGTGTAATTCATTATAATCTTCATGTCATTCACAATAATAATTTATTTCCCTGTATTGATGTTTCACTGTTGTATATTAACCTTCTGTTAGGTTATGTTTCACTTGTCAATAGTCCTGATTTTTGTGGTGTCTGGCAACTTGAATGTTAAAGTGCTTAGAAAGATACTATCAGGCCAATTAGAATTTTGAGGTTATGATCACTTGAGTTAATTTTTCACAGCACAGAGATTATGAGTGCATCATTCTGTCTGTCAATACTGTTTTTGTTTACAGTTCTCAGAATAATTGAAAGTAAATACTTTTTTTGTGTCTGTTAATACACTCTATCGGGTTAGATATCAACAGTACCTTTCTTTACAGAAAGAAGATGCCAGCATACGGATGTGACGAAGGCTGGAGATAAGCAATACATACGTTTCTTAAGCTTTTTTTTTACCATAACTGAAGCTTTGAAACATCATAAAGTTTATCCGGTACTTGTTGGTTACCGGGACACAAAACGGGGGAGTCGAATATCTGGGGTTGGATTGGAACGGAAAACTGCACATGCGTATCAGTATATCCGTATACTCGGTTGTTGTTATCTGTTAGTTCGTTGAGTTATTTATTACTGTTTGGTACCATGTTAAAAATTTGGGATTTACAGTGAGGAAGATTCTGTCTCTTTTCTGCAAGATGAAGGAATACTACTATATAATAACTTTCAAGTATATGTCATTTATCCACACACATTAACCTAACATAACCTAACCTATTTTTAAAGCGATGTTTCCCGATAACCTGCAAGTACCGTTTATCCTTATTTCAGCCAGTATTATTTCTTCTGTTTTAGGTTAATTTCTGTGTTTTCCTTTAATGAAAAAACTGCTTTACTTGCTTATTACTACTGTATGACTGATATAAGGGACCATTAAAATAATGTAACACCTTGTTAGAATAATTATCTTCCTATATCTGTTTTCCTTTCCAGTTTGGTGCAGTGGTTATCCTGTGTGGGAGGAAGCTGCTTTGAGTATGCAGAATGGTGAGTTTTTATATGCAAACTTTTACAATAATATAATATCTTAGAAACTATTTCACCAAATTCATTGGGTTAAAAAATGCAATTGATCATAATGAAGTATATCAGTTATATATAACTCATATAAAAGGCCATTAAAATAAAAATTTACATACACAAATTCCTGTTAATTATTGATGAATTTGTGGATCATCAGTGTGGGTTCAGACGAAACATAACGATTGATCAGATCTTTTGCATTCGTCAGATACTAGAGAAAAAATGGGAGTTCAGTGGGACCGTACATCAATTATTTATAGATTTCAAAAACGCCTATGACTCTGTGAATAGAAAAGTGCTATATAATATTCGTATTGAATTTGGTGTACCAAAGAAGCTAGTGAGTCTAATAAAAATGTGCTTAACCAGAAACATCTACCTCATTTCCAGTGTCATAATTACACACTGCTGCATCACTACTAGATTGTTTCAGAACATACAACACATATCATGTTTTCAGACCATTGTTCTGCACCTTGGTATACCCTGAATTCTTACACAGAATTGTAACTACAGAAAGAAGCGAAATATCAAATGAAGTTATCAAATTGTAAATATTTATTATTTGTTCTGATCTGTGCCTTTTACATTTTATAGAAAATGTATAGTTCCCACCCTTCTATTTTTACTGATGCACTACAATTCTTAACATTACTGGGTTATATACATTTATGATAAGTCTTTCTGTTTAAGGAAAGGTGAAAATTTGTGTGTCTTTGACAAAAGAGGTTATGGTGTGAATGAAAACATTTGTGGAAAACTGTTTTAGACCATGACAAGCATTAAGCAGCATCACACTGAATTCCACGATGCATATAAATTCAAGATAGTAAAAGATCATATCCATTTGTCCTTATAACAACAAATGGCAGAACAATAGTAAATTTTCTATGAGACTGCAGACTGAGACATACTACAAAAATACTGCCCATGGAAATGTTTCAAGTACTGCAAGAGCATACACAGTGTCTCTAGCTTAAAGAGGTTATCCAAAATTTTCTCATGTTTTATGGAACCATAATGTTCAAGATTAAAGAGATATAAAAGCCAATGTGAATATTATCCTACACTTTCATTTTTCACAAATTATTTTCTCAAAGCAACAGTCCCAATTTAGGAACCGCAATATCTTTCCACTTCAAGTCCTATACTCCTAACCTCACAAACCTAGCTACAGATATCTGATGTCTGATGGCAGTAGACCAACAACAGCCATCAGATCAGAGAACTAATAGCCAAGTGCCCAATATCATACACCAACTCCTGTGCAACCAACATCCAGTGAAGTGTTACTAAATGTGGTTTTGTAAAGAATTTACCTTTATGCTCTGTTAAAAACCCATAATGTTTTGATTTATATTATATGATTTAATTTGTTTTTTGCCACAAATGATGACCTCTTGAGGTCGAAACGTGTTTGGCATTAGTGTCCTTCATAGTGTAAACAGTTTTGTTTGTATGCATATTTTATATTTAGAATCTAATACCTGTTTTGGAAAAAATTATAGTCACCTATTGAAGGACAATACTATAAAACCACGTAATGTACCTTCTTTCAAGAACCTTTTAACACAATATTTCAATAATAATAACTTCACCTCATGTGTAGAACCATGAAGTAAGCTCACAAACAAAATCACAAAGGGAAATGGTTGTCTTCTGGGTTGTAGCGATGTGAAGTCTTGTAGAAGGTTATCAACAACCTATAAAATGTTTGATGGTCCACTTATTTTTGAACCTCAGAAGCTGCTTGAAAACAGAAGAAAAAGTCAATTTAAATGGTAATGATGATGATGTGTTACAATCAGGATCACTAAACTCTTGGACTATGTCTATAATTTGTGTTTCTAAAATGAAAACTACATTTCAGAAGCCAGACCTGAATCTGTCTTCAGGTTAAAAAGGCAGGAGGACCTACAAAGTTGGGTTTGATAGAAAGCGTTAACCTAAATCATTATTTAACTTGACAACAGAAGCAGATCCAGCTTCTGAAATGTAGTGCTCTTTTTAAAAACACAGTCAATGGACATAGTCCAAGAATTTAGTGGTCCCATGAATAAAAAAGTATCTGAGAAAATGTATGTTATCCTTCGCTTGTATATCCATCATAGTGTCTTTTTTTAAATACGATTAAAATGATACTACAGTTTTACACTACCTTCTTTGGATGAAAAACTTTATCTCTAATTCAAAAAGAAGAATAAGGCCTAAAGGTAATTGGAAATAAAGTGCTGAAGAGAATATCTGAATTAAAGCGAGACAGACTAACATGTTAATTGATAAAATTACACAATGAGGAGCTCAAACTCAGTATTTAACTAACCAAATTCAAGAAAGCCTTTCACTTTGTTGACCAAACTTTGAAGCTGAGTTTTCACCATCTCTTGTGCCAGAAATGGATCCTCTCATTCAAGATATTTTTAATGTTCACCAATTGTCACTTCCTTTGGCTATGGAAAATCTCAGCTCCAACACCTCCTTCTCAATGAAGCTCCTCCTTTCTTTACACCCTCTAAGTTCATCCTCTTTTGCCTTCAAAGTGTCAAACAACAGAAAGCTTAAGGACATTTAACATAACAGATGAAAATGATAAAAATCAACACACAAACTTCCAAACCTTGTTACACAGAAGTCAAGAAAAATGTATTTGCTTACTGTGTAGGCCTCACACTACCCAATGATTAAGAAGTGTCCAGCAAAAATTAAGCATAAAAATATGTGGTTTATATACACTAGCGCCTTTTAAGTAAATATAAATATCCAGCAGTAACATTGTCCTGTGCGTAAGGTTGGCAGACCATCATCACTAGTTCAATAGGTAACATGTGAATTCTTGTGTAGACTGCAGCTCATTTTATTATGCTATCAACCGAAGTAAACACACATTTAATTGAAGAACCTGGTAAACTTTGAGGAATACTAAACACAAAGCATTTTGTTAAACTGATGGATATCCTTTATGTTTCCTGCACCCCTGATACAACAAAACATTCATGGGCCATAGTACAGACGTGTGTTCTTTAACCACTTAGTGCATCAACTTCAGAAGATTATATAAGCTGTGCCAATTAAAAAATACTGTCAAACTTCATTAAAGTAATTATACGAACCATAAAATCCATCAAATGTTCAAAACCTTTGCACACTTCATACACTGTGAAAATTCTTAAACAACATAATAAGTATTATTTCGAAGATTTTTGTCTTCTGGGTTGTTGTGCTGTGTAGTCTGGTTGATGTTAACCAACGTTTCAGAGGTCATACTGCCTCTGTCATCAGGGCGAAAACATTATTTCATATGTGCATACACATAAAGCTTAAGAATTATCAACAGAGGTAAAATCATGTACAAAGTTGATGGTATGAGTTAAGAGGTAATCTTTTAATGCAGGCTTGAATACTTGTATATCATGATTTAAACTTTTAATTGTTGGTGGAAGATAATTGAATAATTTGATACCTGTGCAGTATATAAGTACTCGTTTTTGATATTTAGTAAGGTTAGGTTTTGGTATATGTAAGTCACATTTACGTCATATTTAAATTGTGTATATTTGTATTTCTTTGAAATGTGTCCAAATTTTCCACCACAATTGAGTTTATATTCAATTGCAAGTGGAAGTACACCAAAGTTTCGAAATAATTTTCTATAAGAGAATGATTTTAACACCAGCCATCATTAATTTTTTATGTAAAATACTTTTATTGCTGCCTGTTGTGTCTCCAAACAAACGTACTCCTGAATGCTGTGGCTATAAATGAGCGAAATTTAGATAAGATTTCAGATTCTCACGAAGAGTATGAAGATGGTTATCTTTTGGGATGTTGCACTGCGTAGAAATTGACCAACGCTTCAGTGTTGCTTACTGCCACATTATATACGCAAATAATACTTCTTATGTGCTTCACATATTTAAACTCCCAGAACAGTGTTCTGAGTTCCATTTCCGGTGAAGACGGATAAAAAACGGACAAAATACACAATAATAACCACTAGTGGTATGTTAAAATCTTTAAAAATGACGGATATTCACTGTAAATGCCAGTAGATAGCGCGAATCTAGTCTGTCAGGCATAAATGAGAGCGTTGGAAGAAGTACTGTCGTCGGAAGCAGTAACACTGACACCAGTGGTTTCGCTGTTCAAATCAAATAACACTAATTGATGAAATAAATTCCAAAGATTCCGGCACCATAACACACATTTACTCGTGTAAAAACATCACAGAAACGTAAAGGTCGTAGTGTTCAGGATGTCAAACTTTGGAAAATACAACCGAATATGTTAAATATAACCACAATCAATCAGAAATCGAGGATTCAGGGCGTTGGGTTTCAACTCAACTATGGTAAACGAATAATTAGGTTCAGCTGAGAAAGTAACAACACGAACAACGTCTGACTGGCTAGAGATGGCAAAGAATGCATTTAATCTATTACAATCTGTGTTCCTGTATGTGTGTGTGTGTATATATTCTTAGCATCATCATCGGCGTTACAACTTGGGTGGGTGGCCTATGTTGATGCTGAGTACCACTCATCAACGAAAGTAAGACAGAAGACTGTTTTAATTTGCGCATTTGATGGTGTTGGCGAGCTGATTGGTTAACAGCAACGCATCGGCCCTATACAAATACGAAATGGATCTTAAAGAAATAGGTTGTGAGCGTGTAAAATAAATTTGTCTGGCTCCGAATATGGTTGTTTTCATGTGAACATGCTCCCTGTTTTTATCAGAGGGGAAACATTTTGATTAACTGCGTCATCAACATACTTAAGTACGACAAGACCGCAAGATGGCAACATGCCTCGAATCAGTGCCGGTAGTGCAGGTGTCTTCTAACCAGCTATGGGAAATGACAAATGACGGGCAGACGACCGCATTCACCGTCATCACATACATCTCACACAAAAATTTTCGTTCCAGTTAACCGCAGGCTTAAAAGACGTTACTGGGTGGCTGGT